GGATTTGATTTTGATTTCAAGATTTTTAATTACGTCGCTAAAACTCCTTGAAAAGGTCCCTCTTCCTTTTCTAGAAATTACCTAAATTATTATATTCTGAATGGGTGACTGCCAACAACTTGCATTTCAATGACAACTCTAAATAACGATCCTACCTCAAGAAGCATGTCCTTGATCTGCTTCACGAGATTCATTTTTAATAAAAAGTTATATCACAATAGTAACCAAAGTATTTTTACTCTCACAGTGTCCTCTACTACTTTGTACCCTCTCACAGAACTATTCACAGTTAAAAGGCTGCTAATTTTGGTCAAACAGCAATTTGCCGATACAGTGCAACTACAAGGCTATCTACTGTATTTGAAAGACAAAAGATGACACTCACCTTAAAATATCCTTTGTATATTTCTATTTGTCTTAACTGTTGGAGCTTATCCAGGCATGTTAAGTGGGAGTGGACTTGAACTCCTTAACTCAAGGTGTAGAACAATGAAGTTATCAAGCCAATTGCATTACTTACTACAACTTGAATTTAGTTTTAAGATAATTAAAGCAGAAATCAGAGTTCAAATTACACACAATATTAAGTTGATGTAATTACCAACATTATTAGGTCAACACAACTTATAAATTAATGTTTGCAACTTAAAATGTTTATCTAAATCAATTAACTCACATTTTTATCTTGCAACCATGCATTTAATTAAGTGGAGGTGAAAGGTCGCCTGAATTCGTTTTTAGAGTGTACCGAGGTAGGCTGATTAACATCCAAGTGCACTAATGAGTCAGAATATTTGCCCTACTGAAAAATGCAAATGCAACATTAGAAAGAATTCCTTTTTGCGGTTTATTCTTGTGGTAGGTTATCATTTAGAATACATGTAATAAAAAGAGAAATCTCAGTCATGCAGCAAGTGTTCAGCACCTCAGACAGCGACACATGGGTTTAAAACCTGTCCTTGCTCCATAAAGTACATAATGCAAACATAGTTTTAGGTGTGAGCTACTCTGGGAACTTAACAGAAACTCACAGGCCACCTTTTTATTTTGCCCCAGCTAAATTAAGAAACTAATTGGATAAGGAATGTTTTTCTTGGAGATAAGGCACTATCTCCCTTACTAGTAAGACTTTTCATCCATAATTAAACTTATCATACACACTTTAATTTAGACTCCACTGATAGCTCTTACAGGGCCTTACATCGTGACTGGCACCTTATAACAAATGTACCTTGACCTTAGGCAATAGTTTTTTAATAGGCAACATAACAAGCATACAAGTTAATATTCTTTCATTTTGTAAGGGAAATATTGCAGGTATTATTGTCAACCACTGCAACGTGAACTTTTTTTATTTGTATTTCTTAAATCCATTCCCTCCATGCACATTGCTCAATTGGTTTTCGCTCAGCGGGGACCGGCTTTGTTTTCCAGCAGCGCCTGTCCCGGAATATGGCCGATAATGATGCTGAGGGGCGGGGAGCAGCGCGGGCTGCAGACCCATTGAGTGTGAGAGTCTGGCGGGGTGCCGAGGGGAGGCAGCAGGCAGCGGTGGAGGAAATGGGCTCACACCTCTGAATCACAAGTCAAAGCTTCCTCCAGTCGCTCACACCTCTGAATTACATCTCAGCCTCCAGTCAGGCATCTCGGAGACCCGGGACGATTTATTTTTGGAGGGTTTTGTTTTTTCTTGTGGCGCTCTTTAGACTGGTAGATTGAAGCTACTGAAAAGCCGGAGCGGGAAGGTTTACAGTTGCATTCCGACACTCAGCCCTCTGTCGCTTCACCTCCATGACCGGGGAAGAGGTCTGCTCAAATAAAACAATGCATCCGGAGAAGTGCTTACCTGAACTGGTAGCCGAGAAGAAGGGCTTGGACCCCACCTATGTTCATGCCGTGCGTCTGCTTGCAGAAGGTAAGTCAGGTATTGTAAGTCCTCTTCTTCAGAGGCATTCACCATGATCCCTGCAATTAAAAACCATCAGTGTTGGATTTTTGTGCAAGTAGCTACAGTGACCCAATGTGAGCTTATTATAACCCACTGCCCTTGACTCTTAATGCTTGTTTCATGGCAGTGGGTTTACTGTGCTGTGTGTTGGATGCAGGCTCTGTTGTTTGGCTCCAGTGCATAACTTTTCTGGGGGTTTCTCATCCAGGGAATATTGCAGTAAACAAAGAAAGTAAAGTGAGTGTAGTGAGTTCTCACCTCCTATTGTAACCCACTGCCCTCCAAGGTCAAGTTCTGGCAGACAACATCCACAACATATACTGAGGCTGTGTATGGATTAGATCCCCAAGATTTAAAATGGAACCTTTCTAATTGGCTTTAATGTATAATTAACTGTGGAAATAATGCACTGTTTATTTTTAAGGTTGAACATGTTCATGTTTATGATTTTGCCAGCTGTTGCATATTCAGCATATCAGGATTGCAATATCTTTTTCAGAACATAATTACTCAGTTTTCAGTAAATGCAACACTTTCTTGATTTAAAATCCATTACACTCATGAAATTACATCAGTCGGATATTTTGAGGAGATCTACCTGACACATAAGTGCTATTTGTACAAGGAGTCATGGATACAATATGAAAAATACAACTGCAACACCATTAATGTGAATGTGGAATGGTATTTTTGTTCTCTTTTTATCACAAGTTATGACTGCAAACTGTCATCAAGGTCACAGGGGGGGACCTAATGCTATTGACACGAATGTTCTCCATTCTTTCTTCTGATTTAACGTTACAGTATATCTAACAGGTCATTATAATCAGCTCCAAACTGCAGCATTAAAATAAAACTTGATACTGCAGAACGCCTCTGTGTCCTTCACTTGCTAACAATGTGTCACTTTCAAACAAAGCTCATTATCACAAAGCAAATTCAAAAACACAGCTCAGCTCATTTGGTCTAAAATATATTTCTGCAGTTTTGATTCAGAGCTCTGAAGGTTTGAGTGATGTGCTTTTTTGGGTGATTTAATTTACTTTTATTCTGGTGTCATAGAGTCAAAGGTGTTCAGGCAACATGGGTTTAAAGGACTCTATTAAAAACAGGGGCAAGAAGACCACCAGGAAAGAACTTGGCATCGTATGTTTGTCTCAGAAGATAGCAAATATCAGATATGAAATGACCGAACTAAAACACAATGCTTTCATTGGTGGTATATTAACCCTCAACAACATTTCAGGTAAACAACTTTTACTTACTGCAATGTAAATATTTACTGTAAAGTAATCTCAAACATCTCAATCATATATTCCTGTAACATGTGACCAATTGGTTTGAGTAAATTATTATTTGTTACTTTTTTGTCCGAATGAAACACCACTTTTCTTGCTTGAGCAGTTTCTGACAAGTTGGTTGAAAGCGGTAAAGTAAGTCTGTCAGATTAATGCGTTCTGATTGGAAGGGGTGTTAGTGCTCTGGGGACTCCCGCCCCTTGAGTTTTGCAGCTGAAATGTGTTGATGAGACACCTGACAGGCCAGCTCTTGTTGTTAACTGTGATGCAGATGGGATCATCCTTCACACAACACACTTTGCCAAATGTACTGAAGGCTGACTCACATAGAAGGATTCATACAAAAATACATTGTCATTATAATCCACTGCAATCCAATGTCAACCCAGAACAGTATGCATCAAACACAATTGTGGACAATCAGTTTAATAAACTGTCAGTTCTTTCTATCATCTCTGAAAATGTTCAGCATAATCATCTGTGAGCAACATCTGTTAATAGCTTTAAAAACTTTCCACAAAGTTTTTATTATTGTAGTCGTTTATTCCTCATAGATAATGTAGAATCACATATATCAGAGGACAGTTACAAATGACAGATGTATACATTCACAGCTAGTAAATCATTGAATAGCAAAGCATGTAATCCTACATTATTCACATCATACACAACAAACAGCACAGCATGGAGTCACTATGGTCTCAGTTTAGCAGCTTCATATCAAGTGAATAAGTGTTTAAATGATGTTGCCTCAAATCATTTGAGTGTCTTTGAGCACATTTAGTGCTGTTTGGGAACAATAGTGGTGGGTGGTAATAATTCTCATTTAGAGCAAAGTGTGAGCTGGATTTGTGATGAAAAGGGAAGAGTTTTATGAATTCCTTTGTAATAGATTTAATACAACATGTATAAGAGTTTTTTGACAACAAAAGTGCTCATTTCAGACCTTATTATCATATTTCAGTGTAGCGTACACCTAATGAAAAACAACAGCGTAGTTGTTTGTTTTAAAGTGGTTTGAAGTGAGTGTCAAAACTGGAAGCCTTTAATGGATCCCAGTGGTTTTCCTATGCCACGTAGCCCGGCCATGCCATGAAAACTAATGTGATTCCTAAGAAGTTCAAAAGAAAAACAGACAGGGAGGCAGACATGCTGACATGTTGAGAAAAACAAACTGCTGTGTTTATATTTGTAATGTAAAGGGGAACTTTCTCACATTTGTTTTCTCAATCTAGTTAGCAATGTCACTAAGCGTTCTGACAGGGTCTGTAATATTTAAATGCGCTCACAAATGCTGCTAGGCACAGTGACAGGACAAACAAATCTGCATGAGATTTGAAAGATGTAGACTTCTCTGAATAAAAGATGAGATGAGATATGGAGGAGGACCAACACTGTGACTCATATTAAGTAAAGCATAAGAGAGCATGGACATGAGAAGATGTGGTATCTATAAGAACGTTTAACCTAACTACTTGCTCAGAAGTCCTCCTTACCATAACTCTACTTTACGAGCAACAAACTTCAGGCTGCGGTCGGGGTTACTGCAGTTATACAAGCGTGTCGGAGAAGTACATTAGCCTTTAGGTAGCGTAAAAACACAAAAGGCCCTCGAGAGGCATTGTTTAGTTTGTCCGCTCATAGCAGACTGTGAGGAGGACCCACTCCCTATGTAGAAAATAGTATAACGAAAACGCGATTTTTTGTTTCAGGTAATTGTATTCTAATGAATACATAGTTATGAGTATTATTCTCCCCCCCCCCTACCGCTCAAGGGCTCTTTAAGATTTTTCCCTTACACAATTTCATGATTTTGCCAGTTTAATATCCATTGAGTACAATATTTTCAGTTTTAAATGCCTTTGTCTTAAAACTTTCTGTTATTAAATCACCATTTTAATCCACATAATATATGAGTTTTCTTATTATCATGTATTTGTCCTCCTTGCATTTAGCCAAAGGAGGAAACATTGTTAGATAGTGAGGAAGTAACCAGCAGCAAATTACAGTATTTTTCCATTTCTGCTTGCACACATTGTCAATGTGAGAATATACTGTGCCAACTCCCGGCTGAGGAAAATGCTCAGTCACGGCTTTATCGAAAACAAGCTCACACCACATTTTGGGCAATGACCCTTTGACTTTAATTAAAATTAATCAGACAATGCATGAACCCATGCAATACACTGCAACTGTTTTAGCCTTTGGTTTCAGTCAGCTGATAATGAAGTTATAATTAGTTGTTGAGATGGTTAGATTCAATCAGTGACTGTTCAGTAGACATCAATAGAACTCTATACTCTGAATATGTCAGACTTTACATCCAGAAAGAGTTGCTGTTTTTGTATGGTGCAGTAAAAATACATATTGCAGGGGCACTGGCTTCCCTCACAAATACATGGCCTGCTAAGTCGGGAACGTACAACTTTGTTATAATTGATTTGGACGATGCCTCACCACAGGATCCAGTTCTCTCTCCCTCTGAAAAACGACTTGCATTTAATCTATTTCTCTCTTATTTAAAAATGGCCGCTCCTTTCATCAGTCTATCCATTATGGACTGTTCAGTATCCAGCAGTGACCCAGCTCATAGCGTAAGAAAAACAGCAGCCCATGTGGTATGACCTATCAAAAGGACACAAAAATTACATTTTAGGAAAGTGATACATTGCATTACATTTTTCAACATTTAGCCGACACTCTATCAAGACTGAGTTACAATAAGTGCATGGGTCGAATAAGATTAGACTCCAAGGTCGCGAGCATTTCAAGAATCTGAAATAAGTGGATGAGCCAAAGCAGCGGTGCACACAGACAAGATATTTTAGAGACTGTGCCTCAATGTTCACATATAACAGGAACATTAAATAAAGAAATGGGATTTTTAAAGTCAAAAAAGGAAAAACAAGGAAAATAACACAGAGTTTAGATCACACATTTAGGAAAGAAGCTAAACGACACCAAGTCTTCGGGAATGTGTTTGATAAATCACTTTCAGTTCACTTGTAGGTGACTTATTTGAAGTGACTGCCAACTTCATTACAGATTCACACAGTATGCTTTTGTGGAGGCAAATGTATTTGTTGTTATAAGGGATTTCAAGTCTGCTTACATTGGTCTTTTTCTTTGTTTAGGCATTATTTATAAACCACTATGCTGGTGGAAGCCAATGTGCTGTTCAACATATCATTAACAGAGACTGTCCAATCAGACAAGGAAGTCAAGTTTCATAGGGGACAGGATGCCTAAGCAAAAATAAAAACAAGACAGCAAAAACTGATGATCAATCAATCAAATAATAAATAGGTCAATAATTGCTGTAACAGTACAACAACATTGACATTTACTATTAATTACATGTCAGTTAAATTATACATCAACATTAAAAAACGACCAAAATAAATATAATACAAAAAAAACGGTTCAACAAGTCAGAGGCATAATTGCAGATCTCATTCATGGAGCTCTGTTGGACATTTGTCATCAGAAGGACTAAAGTGAAGACAGACACCACTAATCATAATCATTTTCCAAGCTCCATGTCGTCTTGCTTTCTTAATATGTGTATTGATATTTTCTTTCAAAAGATTCAACAGCACTAAATGGTCAGCCACATTAAATATATCCCCTCATCTCCTCCTTATCAAAGCCAAGTATCCACCCTCTAAA